TAGATAGTAATCAAGTTATTAAGTTACTTTTAAAAACCACTTGATGTGCAATTTAAATTGAGTTAATAAACTTGTTTCCCTCTCAAAGAATGCTCACGGAGACACTCAATTGCAATATATTGCAATTATAAAATCTAACAACACGCCAGATAAGATAATTTTAATGATTGCAAAGGAAATATATATAAATTCAAATCCCAAGTAATACAACCCAAATTAAACTGCAAAAATCCAATTAACAGAAATTATAACGCATAATCTCAGTCTCCAAATCAAATGAAAACATTCCTAGCACAGGAAAAATCTAATGAAGTCCAGAAGAAAATTAATTAGAAAACTAAATACTCCCCTAGTTGAAGCTCCAAGCTCAAGCTACTCCTCCATCTCCAAGAAGCACAATAGAATTAGCCTCTCATGATTCTAGAAAAATCCACAATATATTTGAAGCAATAAGAGTCCATGAGGCTGCAGAGGTTGGATGGAAATCGGGGGAATAATGATGGTGTGTGGTTTGTGATGTTGAGGAAAGGATATGAACTTCTTGTGTGTGCGGCCTGGGTCTTGATGGAAAGAAAGAGGATGCGTGCGGTTTGGTGGTGCGCATGGGTATATGGGTATGTGGCGTGGGGGTATGGATATGAAGAGGTCATGATAGTGGCGTATGAGTGTGGTGTCTCTCCTGATTGTTAAAGGGGGGCGGTATACATATAGGAATTGAGGGAGGCGACTGAGTGATATTACGTAAAGGAGGGGAGATATATCCGAATCAAATTTGAAGGAGCAAGGATAATTTCTATGTCCTCTTTTTGAATCCATAAAAATATAGATAATATCATAATCTGATGCCATCCAAACTGTGTCTCCAATTTTCCTTTTTTTTTTTTTCTTATTTCCTTCCTTTCAGCTTTCCCATTATCTTTATTTCCTTATTTTTAAAGCTTGCAAAAGATAAATTGAGATACTATCACCAAATCCAAAATCAATTATTTAAAAAGAGATAAAAATATGATAAGATCTCTTATTAAATCTCTAATTTCATGCAATCAGTATTTGATTCAAAATACCTACAATCAATGCAATTTATCCCACTTTAATTGATAAATATCCCCAAAAAGACATTAAATAATATATTAAAATAGGGATTTATCAACTCTTATGCATTTAATTGTATACAAGTATTTGGTTTATTCTGTTTTTGATTTTCCTTATCTCCCTTCCATTACATCCATGCATTTAACCCTTCATTCATTTGCCTTTTCAACATTACAACCTAATAAAAGTCCTATTGATCTTTTATGTCATTGCTACTACTGGTGGAGAGCTTAGAACCACTACAAGCATATGGTAGAGCAAAGTTAAGTGGATGTTGAGTGAAATTAACCCTTGAGAGTTTGGAGTGAAACATTTATACTTGGGAGGTTTCTTGAGCATTCATTTGGGTTAGTCTTTGCACCATTTGCCTAGTTCTTTTAGCATATGACATGAGCATGGATTTGATGTGAGTATGGAATTGTGATTGCCAAATATGATTCTTGATGCTTGCATGGTACATTTAGTCCTACCTCTTGTTTTGCATTAAGTGTTTTGCCCAGGAGTGTAAAAGCTAAGTGTGGGGGAGTTGATAAGTCTCATATTTTATTATATGTTTCCCAGTCCAAACTAATGCTTTTGTGGTCTTTAATTGTGTAATTTGGGTTAAGATAGAGGTTATTGTGCATAAGGGGTATAACGGTTAAGTATGTGATTTTATATGTTAATTCCTGAGTTTACTTCATTTATTGACTCGTAAGTATCCCACATACAATAGAATAGATGACTATGACTTAAATTGATGTTACAGGTCATCAACGGTTTAAGAAGATCAAGGGAACCTAGTTCTACCTATATTGTCGTAACCAAATATGGTTTTTACCATGACTAATATTCTTTCTGAGGGAAACACTGCCACTTATTCGTACGGTGTCATTTTTAGGTTAGTCACGACCAACATATTAATTAGTCGCGATTAATATGTGAAATCTTAAGATTTAATTTTAGAACGCATGCCAGTTCGTCATTGAGCAATTTTCCCTATTTTTCTACTTTATTTCCTTCGTCCAGAGCTCTCCTACTTCGTCTCTCTTCACTGCCCTACCATTCTCCACCATCAATTCATCATTTCTACCTCAATTCTTCCATTTTCCACCGATTATTCTCCTCCATTTCCCCTTAGATCAATGCTGCTATGGCCATGGAAGTTGCAGAGCTTGGTGAAGCTGTGATTTCAGTCATGAGAGGCTAGATCTTCATTTCTTGGTGTTCAATGAAGCCAATCTGAGTTTCTAGAGCTGCAATTGGGAGTTTCTTCTACCTTAATCTTAGCTTCACTCTCTACATTCATAGATTGTAGTTTCTATGGTTTAGATTTGTGATTTGTGATTGTAAAGAGGTGTAATCTGGTTGTTTTACATGGAGACTGAGATTTGGATTGTATTCTGCACTTTAATTGAGTAATTGAATTGATATTTCCTTCTGTTATATTGATTCTTCCTTCTCAAGTGTTTGAATCTCTTGATTGACCAGTTAGGGTGCTAACATTGTTAATTAAGAGAGTAAAATACCTCTTGCAGAGCATAATACATATTAGGCATTAAGTGATTTTGATGAGCTAGGGTTCTAGTTCATTGATTTCATTATTTGTAGAAGGTCTTCACAAACCGAGTCTAATAAAGAAATTGAACTCAATCAAGAGAGAAACTGGGATGATTGGTGGATTTGACCATCAAGAATAATTCATACATTGCATTCACTTCATTCATTAAATACAGAAATTACAAAGAGTTTAGATAGTTGTACTTTAGGTTTTGATATAGTTACTAGTTATATACACACTTCATACATTATACTTGGTTAAATTGATATTTGTGATAAGATTACTAAGGCATTCAAAGGTTCCTCAAGAGATCAGCATCTAGGTTAGTACTACTATATTGTATTTAGCTTAGTTTTATTTGATAGTCTAATGATAGGGCTTCATCAATGTGTTATTATGAAATTCGGTTGATTATGCATTTGTGTCATTTTGAACCCTGTGCATCTAGTTTGGGTGAGGGAAGGAGATAATTGAAGTTATTGAGATTCGTATACTTGCCACGTGGTATTGACCTCTATATGGAGCTCTATGGTTGGCCACCATTATTGTCCCACTAGTTCTTTAAGGGACTGCAACACCCCACTAGTTCTTCGACTGGGGACCCATGGTCCACCGAGTGCTCTGTGGTCTTTGGCTGATCCACATCACTCATGTGGTGAGCTTGTCAAAGTTGCTAGTCAAATGGGAAGAACTTAGCCCATAGGTCCAGTTGGCGGAAATAAGGAGGATATAAGGATGGATTTGGGTTCACGAATTGTATATGATATAGGATATTCATGGATATTTATATCTTTTAAATAAATAAAAACTATGTTATCTCTTTTGAAATGTATCAACTGCATGAGATTGGTGGAAATATTTGTCTTATATGATTATTGTGAGTTTAAATGTTAAATAAATGCCTATCAACTATTATTAACTTTGTGTATCCTACCTGACACCTTGCTAGCCCATGCTAAGGTGTATGATAGGTAGGGATTTAGTTACTGAGATGCTGTCTTACTCCCGTTGCTTTGCCATTTTCAAGAAACAATACGGTAGCGAGACCTTCGGGGAAGACTCCTGAAGCTTAATAGCTGTAGCTGATAGTGTAGAGCTTCTGGATCTTATTTTATGTAATACTTTCGTATATTGCTATGCATCAGGATTGCATTTATTTGGGATTTATTTTACTTTCTTATATTTTTATGTCGTTTGTCTTAATGAACATATTATACCTTTTATTTTTGGTTTATTTTGTTTGGACACTGGATTGGAGTGCTGGTAGTGGGCCTAAGGCCCTTAGGTTGCATGTAATTGAATTATTATGGATCCATAATGTGATAATGGCAATTTCTGCAAGTTTAGTTGTTGTTAGTATCGACTGAAATAGTTAAACCTGAATTGCTATTATAATTTATCATTTAAGGGCATGTTGTTTTATAACTATGTTAGCTATGACTAATCTCTCCTAACAATGTTTGCGTGTGCATGTGCTATATGTTGTTGATTATTGATATAGGTTATTTCTTTTCTAACTATGATAGACTTAATTGAGGTCGAATGCCTTTCTATCATGGTTAGCCTCTTATTGATGTGATTATTCCTAAATAACCACGATAGGGTATGTTTACTAGTTTTAGTCTTTTCTATTATGGTTAGTTAGTAAGTGGCGAGGTTACAGTGACAGACCATTAATTATTACCAAAAAAATCTAGTATTCGATGCCTCTATCCAAGGTTTCCTAAAGAAGTTTATTTTGCAGAATGAGTTTTGGTCCTCATCCCTTTGATGAGTACCTTAAACCCATCAGATCTAGACCGTTTATATTTGATTTGAATGGCCTAGATTTAAAATTTTTAATTAATTATTTTTAAATAGAAAAAACTATTTTTTGAAAGAATGATAATTAAGAGATCATCACTATTTTAGATTCTACACATATTAAAATAATTATTTTGAATAAATAATAAAAAAAGAAATCAAATATGGACCATCCAAATGAGATATGGATGATTTAGATTTGGTAAGCTTATCGTGCTCATCAAAAGGATGAGCACCGAAACTGATTCCTATGCCAAGAGATATTTGAAAATTATAAGGCAATATTATATTCTATATATGTAAATAGCCAAATACACACTCATACAAGTCATAACTTTAAAATATATGCAGCAAATAGTTTGAATCGGACATATATTTGTATTAAAAGACTAACTAAACAAGTCCATCTACAAAACAAGCTTGATAGAATTCATAATTTCATAATCTGTTCAAAATTTATAATAACAAATCACATGTATATATAACGATAGCCCTCCAAAGAAAGGGTACATTATATTGGAGATATAAACTAGCTAGACTAACAGAACTGCCAATGGTGATTGCATTAAACACGCGTGACATAAGTGGTCATAGGTTCATCAACACTAGGAGTCTGCATCTGGTAAAAGGTGGTCTCTCTTTTCCTCCACTTTTCACACACGGACTGATCAGTTGTGGCTTTTGGTTTCTGTCCATGCTCACACTCGAACAAAGCTTTTCTTTTGATCTTCTCGTTCTCCTTCTTCCTTCTATTACTAGCTATGTCTTCTCTTCTGATGTCGATGAGCCGTTTCAGAGCCAATTCTTTGAGCAAAACTTTTCTTTGGAAATCTGGGTTCTTAGAATCCTTAAGGATAAATAACAAGGACCTATCCTTGATCTTTTGAGGCCCAAAAAATGAACCCCACTTTTAAAATAGTACAACAGACTCCACTACAACGGAAACCCTAATAGGGTCACATGCTTTAGCTTTATCCATGATTGCTCCATCAGTCTCCCTTGAAACCCTAAAGAACGCCTCTTGAAGAATTTCCCTTATTTTTTCTCGCGTGGCATCTCCAGATTTAATCACATTTTTCTGTTTTGGAGAAGCAACAGGGTTTAAGGATGCCTTAAGTATTTCAAAAACTTACTTCTTCTTTTGGTCCTTGCTTGTGTTTTCTGCAAAAACAGTTTTGGAGCTTTTGATATTAGAAACAGTTTTGGCTTCAGAGGTTGATGTTTCAATATCATTATCAAATTTCTCAGCCTGAGGAATGTCCATAACAGCCTTAGGCTAAATCACAAAAGCATTCTGAACCTTCTGATGAACCTTCTCTTTCTTAATTTTGCTTATTTCCTTGATGATTATGGCTTTCCATATCTCTACCACCTCCATAGCAAAATCCCTAATCTTCTTTATGGGATGCTTTGTTATAACTCTTAGATGTTTACCCACCTAGGTTGATATCAGAATTTGATAATCAATAGAAAAATTCTTGAGCAGCTTGAACGCATCAAGAAATTGATTTTCATCAACTTCGTTGGCTGTTGAGTTAGCAGCTTTCTTCACTACTTCTTACAATTGGATCAATTCTTTCTGAGACCGAACAAGAAAAAGCAATGAACTGAGTCAGAAACTATGGAACTGAAGTATCTCTAAACCGAAGGACCGTAGTATCTCTGACTAAAAGGATAGCTGTGATTTTTTTTTTTTTTTGCCAATAAAAGGACAACTGCGATGGTTGGATGGCGCGTGACTAAAAAGTATGTTTGACCGGCTCTCTCCATTGTCATATTGAGTTGGCCTTATGAATTTAGGTCAAATTTTGGATTCGTAATATTCGTAATACATTATAGAAAAAATACTAACCAAACCTTTTTAGATAGCATTTAATCTTTTTAGATATAGCATTTAACTAATTAATTTGATTTCAACTCGAAGTTTAAATACGTAACTAATAATTAATAAATTTGAATGATAAATATTTTAATATGCAGTACATAATTTTTAAATTATACTCAAACATCTAATAAATGATTTAAATAAAATAAATTACCTAATTAATTAATAATAATAATAAGTTATATTATTGAATAAATAATTTTTTATTTTCCTTGGATAAATCAAGGAATTGAATAAATACAATTAGTATATTTTAGATTAAAAAAATTAAAATTGACTAGCAGTATCGAAAAGATAAACATGTTTTGTGATATAATTATACAAAGTATAATTTTTTTTTACTAGAAATATACGATCCAAATTTAAACTATGTAGAGAGTAAAAAAATTACATTATTATAGATATTATGAAATTTCACGTAACCCACATCAAATCTTTAATGTCAAATCTTTTTTCATAAATTTATAAAATCTTTAATATAAGGTAACTCACTAAAAGCTATCAACTTTCAAAATTGATGATGAGTTAGAGTAGATTGAAAAGATCTAAGCATATAGTTTATTTATAAATAAACTTAATTGTTGATATTGTTAGTGGCAGTCTCACCCAAGAGGGGGATGAATTAGGTGAGTCATAAAAAAAATTTAAGCAAATTGAAACAGTGATATTAATAAAACAGAGAACTTTAGAGTTAGAAAGATTTCACCATAGATCACAAACACCGGATTTATACTAGTTCAGTCTCAACCACTTGACTTACGTCCAGTCCTCAGAACACCTCTTAGATTTTCACTATGATCCAAGATTAATCGGACTCTTGGTGCCTCAGTACAGCAATTGATCTTCTCAATCACTCTCTCTTACTATCTGTAAGGTTACAAACCCACTCAAGAGTCCACACTCACTCAGAAAGTGATTAAGGATGATATATTAGTCTCTCTCACAGAGTAAATGAATGAGAAACACTAAAGCTCAGTAAAGATGAAAATAGAGTATTGAATGCAACAGTAAGATACTTGCAGAAGGTAGCTCGCGTATTCAATAATTCGCATTCAATGCTTCTTTGTGCCTTTTATAGTTGAGGAGGTTTAATAACTGTTAGACGGAAGAGCTTCTAGCCGTAGAGAGTTCAGTTGCGTGTTTTCTCAGTTGCAATGGTATTCGCCATTTAATGCTTCTGACATGGTAGGTTACAGGCTATTGAATAACCGTTGGATAACCGTTGAACTTTCTTCGTAATCTGTAACAATACTTCAATCTAATAAGTTTTTCCTTCAGAATGAAATTCAGGAAGATAACTGATAAAATGATAGTAACATTCTTATGGTAGGATAGAAGCAAATCAACCAAACATTAGATCCAATATAACTATGAACTGATCAACTTTGATCGAAGACATGATGATAACTGGTTTATCGATTATATTATCAATTAATTAAGATAAAAGATTTTGAAACATATAGGTATATTTATCGATCAAGTTATGAATTAACTCATGATCGAACAAGTAATCGATAAATGAAAAGAATGACTTCACAAAGATTATGTAGAGAAGAGACCTAAGGTCAACTATAATTTTGAAACCCTTAAAATAGAGTATTAAGTTAATCAGTAAGGCTGAGAAAAGCTCAAAGAGAAATATTAAGAAGATTCTTAGATCTCATTGTAGCTTCTGGTATTGAAAGAGTTGGATCATTGATCGAATAATTGATTAAAAAGTGTTAGATCGCTCAATTTATCAATAAAGATAAGCAAGAGTGAATTTGATTTTCAAGGTACATTGATCGAAAACTTTATGGATAAATGGATGACGGAAAACTTGATCGATAAAATGAAGTTTATCAAAGATGTTCATAAAGAAGACTAATCTTAAGATGATGGAGTAAGTGATCGAATAAAGTTTGATCGATCAAGTGATCGATAAAAAAAAATGCAGCCGAGAAACTCAGTTCTTAAATGCCAAGAAATGTTTGATCGATCATGTTACGTGAAAACAGAATATTCAGAGGATTGGATTATCCATCAATTTATCGAAAAAAATTGATGATCGATCAAATGATCAAAAAAGGACTTAAATAGTTTAAATCAGTGAAAAGGTAATGATCGATCATTTGATTGATAAACAATGGATCGATCAATATATCGATAAAGTAATTTTCAAAAATACTTAACCAGAAGAAAAATATTGATAAGCAGGTGAGATATTATGCAATGACAGAATATGTTATCGATAAAACTATGATTGATAAAGTGATCGATAAATGGTGATTAGAACAAAATACAACAAGAGTAGGAAGCTTTATCATTTATCTGTCTTCTCATTGATAACTTATTTATCGATCAAGTGATCGATAAATAGTTACCAAAACTTGTATCCCATTATCTGTCAGTTGTTCAATCACTAGATTATCGATCAATTGATCGATAATTTTCTGCAAACTTCTATACAAAACAGTGTTAACGATAATCGATCAACACATACAAATTTGATTTTTCTATCAGGTTATCGATTAACATTTCTGCTAAGTTTCTTGTTAACACAAGAACTTTATCTATCAAGTGATCGATGAACCCTTGATCGATCAACTTACTAAAACACAGATTCCTTAATTTGTTATCATCAAGACCTTAAATCTAACAGATATGCTAAGGCAAAGGGTCAATGATTTATATATTTATCTTGATTCATATATTTAAATTATTGACTTTTCATTTCTTTTTAAATTATCTTACATATTGATCTAGTTATGATCGTTAATAAGAACAAGAAATTATTCTTAATTAATCAATCCTTTTGTCCCATATTATTCGAGAAGGTATATCATTTTCAATTCAATTTGGATTTGATCCAATAGAATCTTACTCAACTTCTTATTTAGCAGAAGGTACGAAATAAATAATGTTAATTATAAACTCTTAATAACTTTCAATTCAATTAGATAAATTTTATTTATACTTTATTAAAGTATATAAAAAAGTCGGCCAAAAAAAAATTAAAGTATATCAAAAGCAAGATAAGTTAACCAATCATCCAACGAGTTAAAGATATTATTCGAGACTAAATGCGCCATCGCTGAAATTTAAATAAATTTTTATGATTTATTTAAAATGTTTATTATTTACGTATGGTATTTTAAATATAAAACGGACTGGTATTTGGATTATATAAAAAGTTATTGAATAGTTTTCTTTTTAGCTGAAGGTTTAGATATGCTAATAAATAGTAGTATATCGATATGAAAATGAATTTAAATGCTATTATTAAAGTAAGAAAACATTAGTTAAATTATAATAGCCCTAAATAATAATATTGCATTTTATCTAATTAATTATAAAAACATACAAGCACATCTTATAAGAATAGAGTTATGCAATTTCTAATTACATAGTATTTCCGAGAAAAAAAGTGACAAAATACTTCAGCACTGATAAAAAGGACATTAGACAAAATTCACAACCTATATTATATTTAAAATTATTTAACATTTATGACAAATCCTTTAATAGAAAATATCTAACTGCATCAGCGTGTTAAATAGTATCTTTTAAAACAGGAAATATAAAAAATATAGGGAAAATTAGATATTGAATGTTTCTGTTTTTCCATTTTTATGTTTTTAGAAAATTTTTATAAAATTATTTTTAAAAATAAATTAAAAAAAAAAGAAACTAAGTTCGGACAATTGTTGTAAAAATTGTATTCGAAAACTAAATAAAAAATAAAAACTTGTAGAGAACAATTGTTCTTAAAATCAACATAAAGAACTAATACAAGATGAGAGGCAATAGCATTAAAAAAAAAAAAAAAAAGGGCGATGAGAGATATATAGATTGTAATGAAGACTATTTTTTTTTTTTTTTTTTGCTATGCATAATCATCTTTCTATTGGAGGCAATCCTATTTAAGCCACTATAGAGCAATAAATATGGATACCTCTCCTAAGAAGAATTTAAACCTTGGTTCACTATGTTATGAGGGACTAGCCCCTTCTGCTAGACCCAATCCCTAATGGTTGTAATGAAAACTATTGGAAAACTGAAAAATGACTAGATATAGGAGTGTGAAAGACAAAATGGAGACTATATCTATAGCCATTGATAAGGGCTAGCCCTTGAAGGACTAGGGCCTAAAAGAACCGGTCTTTTAAAGCCGATATATTTTAAAATTATCATATTATTAAAACTCGGTCTTTAGATATATGGGCTTAGAGTCTAAAACGGTCGGTTCTTTTATTTTTTTTAAATCTAAATTCTTTTTAATTATTTTGAAATAAAAAAGAAAACTTTGAAAAAAATTTTATTCTAATTATAATATTATTAAAATAAATTAATGATGTATAGAAAAAAACATCGGACACAAATAAACTATTATCCAAACT